GTTTGACACTTTACCTTATGTAATTAATTGTAATAGTTACATACATTACATTAATTAACTAGTAATTAATTGTAAACCATAACTAAAATCTAAAATGTTTCACAAGTTGCAAAATTGAAATGCATGTAGCTATGTAAATAAGTTTATTGGTGACTTGTAGTGTTGCCTCAAATGGATTTTACATAGTTACTGTTCTGCAAAAATAATATTCTTCTGCATGTTTAAGTGGCTGTCTTCTCTATAAGCCATACGCAGTTTGACCTGTCCTACACTAGTGTCACCTTGTAACATTCTCACAAGACCCAAAGGCAGAACAAGGGATTCACTGTGGTGCACAGACAGAAAAAACAAAGTCTATAACTCATTTAGCAAAATCTAAAAATTCATTTAAAAATTGTCAGAGAATGTCCATGATGTATTGTATTATTAAAAAGGAGGCTTTAGGTGTTTCCACATTAGGACGAAAGACATAAGAAATATGTACAATCCAGGTAATTCAATTGTATTAAAAAAAGGCAAACTTGTTCTGAAAATTGTGGAACTGCTTCTAGAAAATGGTTTCATTGATATTTCATTGAGGTGATATCACATTCCTTTGAAGATTAATATTAATAGGTAATATGTTTTTAGCTCATTGTGAATTTATTCACATTTAGCGCTAGCTTCAGCATAAAGATTTACTGCTTGCAACATTGCGATTCTACGATCATTTCTGAATGTTCACACCAGAGGAGTTCATAAAACACATCTGAAGACTGTAGGGATCCTTTTGGGACACAGTAGTGTGTTTGCACAAAACAGCCTCCAGCCATTTTCCATTGTAGTGCTACGTGTGGGGAACAAGTATTATGAAGGGGAACTAAACCACTGGATGAATTCATCAAGAGGGTATAAATTATAAGCACCACAGAACCTCAATAAGCACATCCATATATCCACAGCTGGCGTTGCTGAATCATGTCCAACATGTTGTATAACATCAACCACACAATCTAAACCTAACCTAAACAGATTTTAGAGATGTGATTCTATGGAGATTTAAATACAATTGTGGTTTCTGACTGCAATTACCTCACTGTATTTACTGAATGACTGTAGCTTATTTCAGTTATGATTAATTCCTTACTAACTAATTACCAAGAACATTTTTATAATTTAAATTAACCAGGCTTTGTGAAAAAATCACTTAGTCAGGAAGCTTTAATCATGTTTAACAGAAGTAATTGGATTTGTATCATCATTTGCTTTTGGAGTAGGCTCAGGTAACTCGATTCTCCTACTGCATCACAGCTGAAACCAGGCCTTAGAGCTACCAACTTAAACAAAAGCCTAAAAAAACTTAAATAATCTTAAACAATCAAACATTTTTGCAAGTGTCAGTTTAAGGAGACTGAGAAGTGTTTGATTATGAGGTGAGGGGCATGGTGGCGCAGTGGTTAGGCATTGCATTTACTATACAGAAGAAAGAGAGCTCACTAGCAAGCTTCAGTCATTGCAGCAGTGTTTTTTAAAAATGTGAAACTGAATTAAATATGGGCCTGTTCTGCCCCAGTAGTTGTGTGATAAAATCTGATTTTAAAACAACATTAACTGAAAGCCATGCAGAGACATACAAAAAGATCAATTAATAATAAATCATTTAAAGACCCGTATGCACAAATCAATTTGTTCTTTCGTACTTTTATACAGCTGTCTTTTTCCATGGAGATACACTTAATAGGCTGCATCTCAACACGAGCCAAGATGAAGGTCACTCTTCACTAAAGCTAGGGCACATTTGCTGTAAGAGCTTCAGATTTAATTATGTTAAGTTTAATTTTTGATGCTAATCTTTCCAGAGATTTCTTGATTATATTATCAGAACATATACTGTAGCACCCGCAGTGCCCATCAAGCCAATTCTTTAAAAAAATGAAATAGATCAAGAAGACATCAGAAGCACTATGCAGTATTTTTAATCTAGTCTTCATATCTCCTGTTGTATTAAATCAACAAGCGAAAATTTCCAACAGCTAATTAAATGAAATGAATGAGAATAACATGCTGCACTCAAATCGTTTGTAACTGGGTATTAATCCCTAAATCTTACAATGACATTTTTTTCATATTGTATACTGGAGCATCACAGAAGGCCATCACAGGTCAAATGTTCAAGATGCACTGTGTGAAGGGCTATGGCTGCAATCTGGCCAGTAAGCCAGTGGCTGGTTTGTCTAAATCTGCCCACAGACTGCGCCTTTCAGCAGCTGCAGTCGGGCAGGCTGTTGAATGCTGGCAGTCCCTAGGAACAATGTTTTTCAACAGCATTTCTGTCATGATCCGGAAAGGTGCAGACACTCGGAATTCGTGATATATTCCAGAATTCGAAGAACCCTAGACTTGTGAATTTAGTATGAAAACTAAAACATGACAATTTACATAAACAGCTTGTATAATGAGATTGCACTGTAAAACCAATTTCCCCCAAATATTTTCTCACATTTCAACATACTGTAAACAAATCATTAGTGTAAATTACACAGATGTCTGGCCTGCAGCACAGCGTGACTAAATTGTGCCAAACCTCCTTATGTGAACCTGTAGAAACCAAGAGATTCGAGCCTGAGGTGTCCATTCGCCCAGCCAAGCTTTATTGTATTCATACAAGGAACCACAATAAGGACTGTTGTTATAGTAGTTCAAAGGGGTGTTAATATACACTTTTCTCTACACCCCCCCCCCCCCCCTTCTGTCTTTGTCTGATTTGCCGCCATCTTTAACTGTTCGGTGTCCGAATCGGAGTAGCTACGCGTACGAAATAAAGTTAATCCCAACTACAAAACATATATTTTTGTGGTAAGAGGGC